GCACCTCAGCACTGTTAGATTCTGAATGAATCTCAAAGTAAAAATTACTGCACCCGTCGAGGCTCTCTCTATTTCTTCCTTGGTCCGGGGGACTGCTACAGCAGACAAACGGAGATGGATGTTAACAAAAAGCGAGCCTTTATTTAGGGCTGCAGCAAACATTACAAAACAAAAGGCAGGAAGGGAACTACCAAAAGCTAAAGATGAAACCTGGAAACACGGCGGGAAGAACAGCAGAGGAAATGCAGACGATCCAGAAACAAACGGAGGAACAAATACACAGAGAGACAACGAGACACAGAGAGACAGCTGGGAGCAACCGCACAACGAGACCGGAGGAACGAAACCAACAACACTAACGTAGCACACGAGACTGTCAAAGTAAAACAGGAAACACCAGGAGGAGGAGCACAGTGAGGAGCACAATCCTGTTGAATAACACATTATGTTATTGCATAAGAAAATAATTCTGTGTGATGTGAGGCTGCTTCTTCACTGTTTGGTTTTTGTGAGAACAAAGATCAGAGCAGTAAGTCACTCTCATGCTGATCCCTGTGGAGAGACGGAGGATCAGCCCAACAGCCACCCAGCAAGTGGCAGAATTATTAGACAGAAGACAAATGAGAGGGCAGACGATTCAATAAGGATTTAAGGGGCTCGAGGAGATGATAATATTCAAACTGGCTTGGGGAGGGGGGGTGCAGCAGCACGAGCAGCAGAGGATTACACAGACGTCTATTCCCACAACAAGCATTTAGGCTTCAGACGTCCAGTTTGTACATTTCCTTGTTTAAAGAAGCATTTTATTCATCATTATTACTCCGAATGGATACACAAACATCCATCCAAGAGCACAAATTCTGGCACTACTGAAAAATGTTGACATTAAATGGTTTGAATTGCTGTATTTTAAGAACCAGACCTGGAGTTTCACAGCGAGTCGTGATAGAGTCCCTGTGGACGCAGAGGAAGAAACTCTGAGAGGCTTCTTTAGAAAAGCCTTTCAGCACTGACTGCTTCAGTTTGAGATAATCGCTCGTATAAAAGACAAAGTGTGGAAGAAATGAGACGACCACAGGAAGTGGGAGCAGGCCCGTAGTGATGAATACAGATATATAAGGGAAATCAAAGCTTTTGTTTTAGCGGCACCATGCAGCAGCACGGACATCATAATTATCGATCTGAGGAAAGAAGAAAAGCATGACTTCAGCTGCCGGCAGAGCAGCAGCTTCAATAAATACTCCTAACGAAGGAAACAGATGCAGAGATTAAACAAATTGGTGACTTCATCTCAGGAACCAGTAACCTCGCCATCTGCTGTGCATGACCAGTGACCAGTACGTCAGGAAATCCACTGCGACTTCCTGTATCAGCAAACACTCGTATTATTATTTTACTACGACGGCCACGGCCGACATCACAGAGCAGGTCTCTGCTGATTCATGCATTGTCCTTGTGGGACTGTGATGAGGTATTAGGACACAGCCTGGAGACACAGAGCTAAATGGAAAGGCAGCGCCTCTGATGGATGATGCACGATGCCCTTTTCTCCTTTTGTCTTACAGCGTGATTCGCTGCTCTTCCGCTGAGCGGTTCTGCCTCCTACCGTATCGCACCGACAGGCAGGTGGAACGCTGCTGAAAGAGGGTTTCAACACCTTTGAATCAAAGCATTACTCTTAACATTTACCTCAGAGCCTGTGTGGGCAGACTGGATGTATCACGCACAGCTGCGAGGCTGTAAGACTCAGAGACTTGTATGCGATGACGCCAGCTGCAAAAATAGCTCAATCAGAGACTCCAAACGCGAGGATGGAATGATGTAAATATGATATGAATGATTAGAGTGGGTTAGATTATAGAAGCAGTGGCTTACAGTCAGGATCGGTGTAACCACAGCATCACTTTCTACATATTCAGCAGGCAGCAGCAACTCTCAGGCTGCAGGTAACATCCAGCCCCACCAACATCCATGAGTCTGATCTCATACATAAATATAATAATGCTGAAGAATGCTTGTACATGTTTGGCCACAGCTACAAACAGGACGTGCAGAGGGAGTGTGCTGTGTTAACAGCACAGACAGCTGTAGAGGGAAGCGTGGACTGTGCAACATTACTCTGTAATAAACGTGTACATGTTAGCAGCTGTCTTCATAGGCCAACAGCGCACACACGAGCACCTCCCATGTCTGAGGGATCTAAGTGAAATCTGCTCATCTCCAGGTTGTTAATATCTTTACATTAAAACAAATACTTGTGTTAAAATGTACATAACGATGAATCTTTGAGGCTCAGTCCTCTCCTTTACTGTGTAACACACTGTTCAGGCTGCAGTGCTTCCTGGCTGTGTTATGATGTGCTCGCGACTCAGCTCCTCTGGGTCACGGCTTGTTGTTCTCCTGCTTCTTACGGGAAGTTTCAGCAGAGAGAAAACGGCCTCCATGACTCAGATGAAGCAAACAGAGGGAGTCTTACCTTCACTCGTCTGTATTAAGAGTGTAACCTGATGAATGACCCTGATGAAGGCCACAAGCCGAAACGCGTTGGTCTATTATTAAAGTTGTTCATCTTCCCTCAAGTGTTGCTGGAGTTCCTGCTTTAAGAGCGTAACCTGCCAGCAGCTGAATGAGAATGATGATTACATACAGTTACAGCGAGCACAGAGTTATGTTCACTAAATGTCCTCGCACAGAGAACAGGGAGGCTCGATGTTCAAAGGTATGAAAAGGAAACTTTTTCCTGCTACCTCATCTGTGGCATCGCACTCTCGATACGCTCTGACCGTTTATCAATGTTTCTTCGCTTATTTACCGAGTCCGTCAGAAACCACAGAGTTAGCTGAAGGTTACTGTGTGTATTTAAGCTGACAGAGCCATCAATCCTGACAGGACCACAATATTATGTGTCTGGAATAAAGCATGCAGCAGCGGAGGTCCACCTACAGCGAGGACACTGCAAACTTGAACAGAGCAGCTGAGGTGCAGCAAACGTTCATACTGATTCCTGCTCCCTTAATCACAGCAGCAGCCGGATCTTTTCCCCTGCAGACAGAAATGGCAGCCTGCAGGTATCAGAATAATCAAATGGTGCTTCACTGAAGCGCCTGTGTCCGAACATGCTCGGCTAAGGCACTCACAGCATTTTGCCCATTTGGGTCACTCAGAGGCAGCGTTTGCATCAACTGAGTGACCCTTTGAGGTTTTCTCTGAGGAGGAAACTGGGGGAAAAGTTTTTAAAACCAAGCATCAGCATCCAGAGTCCATTGTTTGGCATTAATGTTTAATGACAGAGAGCAGAAAATGTGCTGCTGATGGGAAAAAGCAAAGAGCCAATAGACAGAAGGGGCTGAAAAATGGAAAAACAAGCGAGCCGAGGATGGGAATCTCTTTCTCCATTCAGAAACCAACGAGCTGAGCCAGAAGTCAAAACACGCAGAAGACACTCAGCCTGCTTCAATGAAGACGAGATGAACATAGGACTTGATCACATTTGTACCAGCTGGAGGAAACGTAGTCTCTACCAAGTAACGCCTGCTGGCTTTGACCTTCCTACAGATAATCAGCCAGTATTGTCCAGTGTTGCAGGAGCTGCAGGTGGCGTCTCAGCCCTCTCTTTTCTGAGACTGGCATGAAGTGTCAAATATGGAAGCTGTACAGACACTGACACGCAATCAAGACATCGAGCTGGTACTGTTACACCCACATCACCAGATCGATGACTTCTAAAACAGAAGAGGTTGTCTCCTTGAGCAAAGACATCAGATTCAGCTCTCTGACTGTTGTTCGACACAGGCCGTCATCAGCAATATGTTTTTAAAGTGCTGCACAGGTGCAGAAGCCTGTTTGCTATAACCGTGTAAACACTGCTTCATGTGGTTTTCAGGGTTTAGGTGATCAAATGTGAAATGGCTTCATTTTACGAGTCGGCTCTGGCAGGGGCGTGGTGTCGCGGGGCACGGGGGTCATCGGCTGAGGTGGAGCAGAGCTTTTAGCCAGCATCAGAGTTCGGTCCTACATCTGAACAACACTCTGCTTCTCCATCTTTAGGACGCAGCTAGCATGACTCCAGAGCGTGCAACAGATCCGCTTTTCTGCAGGAGGACATCGTGTCAGGTCACGTTTGGTGTAACGGACACATTTTCAGTTCAGTTGTGAAGAAAGCCAAAGTGGTAAGGCTGTTCCTCTAAGCACCCACACTCTGCTGTTTGGCTTTGGATACTGATGCCACAGCTGAGGCTGCTGTTCAGCACATGCTTTGTAGCTACAGACCATCGGAGCCGGCGCTGGGTGAGAAAGTGTCCACGTCTATGCCTCTGCTGTTTTTAGACGTAATGATACAACACAGAGTTAATAAATCATGATCCTCAGAGGAGGATCAACCAGTGAGTTTGAAGTGTACACAAACACTCAGCTCGAGCTGATTCGCTTACCAAAGGATGACATCATGAGGCCTATGTCCATCTTTTTATACAGATTTTATGTGCGGACATACCTCTCTCTGTTAAACTTGAGTGAATGCAGGATGGCCGGCCGCCTCTGGCGCAGATTCCACAAGTGCAACGTGTCGTCTGCACAGGCTGAGACCAGCGCCCCCTGGAGGACAGAAAAGACACATCAGCCTGTAATCCTTCTGTACAGCAAGAACTGCTCATACACAGACTCTGCAGGGCAGTGATAATAAAGCCACTGCATGAACATGAGCCCATCTCCAAACATTTGCTTACTGTCCTCACACCTTCACATCTGGGCTCTGCATGAACCCAATCAGATATTTGTTTGTCGCAGCATCACAGACAGAAGCAGGCTGTGGCGACCATAAGGTGGAGCATCGCCTTCATAGCACACATGATTTGATTTTCTCTATTTTTCAAAAATGACTTACAAATGTGATTTTCTCCACCAATTACAGCGAGACAATGAAAGGATTAAGAAAACTGTGAAAGCGTATCTGTGAGGATTAAAGGCCTTGACTTTTACAGGTTACAGCTACTACTGAGCATGTACATGGAGAGAAATCATGAAAATAATCTTCTGTGTTATTTCACGTCTCCCCGCCCCGCATGGAGAGACGGTATAAATATATTAGCCTCTTTTCTTTTTACATAATCTCACCGAGAGCTTTTCTTTGGATTGAAGTCGTTCGTGTCTTGCACATCATATAATTCCATCCCGCTGGGATTAACACGGCCTCACACTGAATTGCTAATTGCCCATTAAATTGCACTCGGTTTTGCTCTGAAACAGCTTCCACAAATGAAGATAATGTTTCTAATGTTTGCAACCTGACTACTTCTGCAATCACTGTTCTGGAATAATAATGTCCCCTGTTAGAGTGGCACCATTTCATTAAGTGAAAGTAAAATCAAAAGCATATGTGTGTGTGTGTGTGTGTGTGTGTGTGTG